AAAAAAAAAAAAAAAAAAAAAAAAAAAAAAAAAAAAGCGACAAACATAATTTAACATTTTACTCGATTTGATTTCCAAACACCATTAAAAAAACACAAATTCCACAATAGAAAACAACAAAAGCAGAATTAATCAAGAATCGAGAACAAAATTAAAGATTATTGAGAGAGCAAAACCTCGTCGATTTGATCCCACCACCTGAACTCAGCTTCAATCTTGTTACGAAGCACATTATACAAGAGTGTGGGATAGAACAGGATCCGTGCACCTGCTCCCACCAACGCTCTCTTAGCATCAACGCTCACAATCTGCCTCTCGTCGCTGCTACACTCAACGTCGTCCAGTTCCTCGATCTTCATCGCAAACCCTAAAACCACAACTGCGATCCGAATTAGGTTGGGTTAGAAAAGCAGAAAATCGAAGGGAAATCAAAAGCAATCGTACCTTAACGCTGACTTGGAAACGAAGGAAGACGCTAATTAGAGAGAAATGGAATCGATTGGGGGAAAAGAGAAAAGCAGAAAAAATTGGGTGAGAGAGAGTGGTGAAAATGTTCATAAGAGTAGAGTGTGGAAGGTCTCTAACAAAAATGCCATTGCTTCATCTGCTAATTACTTTTCTATTATTGCTGGAAACCCAAACCAAACCCAGACGAAGAGGGTGGGTACTTTCGTAATTGCCATTTCTCATTGGATTATTATTTATTACTCAATGCCTCTACTAAATTAATTATTTATTGCTCTAAAGTTTTACTTGCTCCCTCATAAATCTTATGACTATTTTTTAAATTCAAGTTTTTCTTACCTTACACTGCAATAAAAATAATATACATTTTTTATCATCAATTAGTTGGTCTGAGTAGTATTATTACTCTACCATTTTAAACATTTTGAGTTAAATCTTGTATATAATCAAAAATATGGTTAAGAGTAGAAATCTCACTAAAAATTATCGGTCAATTTTTTGACAAAAATAAATTATCAACAAAATAAGAAATAATTTATTATAATAATATAATTAAAAATTATTAGAAATATAAATTTATGTTTGGCTATATTAATTGCTAATTTTATTTATATCAATAATTTATTATGAAGTCTATTAATTGATTTTTAATGTGAATATATGTATTAATAATATAAGTGATATTTATTAATGTTAAAATTTATCTTTTAAGTTAAGAGTGACGTGATTAAATATAACTATCATTTCATCTATTTAATTTGATGAGTTTTTTTTTTTTTTTGGAATTAAGTCCAACTAACTTAACTAATTCTTTTTTTGGTAAATTAGTTATTTGTCTCTTTAATAAAAGGTCCATAAGTAGTATTTTATTTATTTTATTCTTTAGTCTCTTGTGATTAAAATATCATTTTGGTTTCTATAATTTTATGAATTTTACATTTTATTCAATGTAGTAGGTAAAAATTATTTGAGCCTTTATACATATGACTTTTGTTTTCTTTTTTAGTTTTTGTTAGGGTTAATAGTTGGGTACAGTCGATTTCTAACCAGTATAACTCACGAGTTGTATTATTTAGACTTGAACTTGATCAAATAATTTATCAATTTAAGCAGGTTTTAATATTAATAAATAATTTTCTATTGGTAGAGATATTTTAATTTTGAGTCATTTAATTGGTCCGAATAATTTTTTATTTATTTAATGTATTATCTTTTATTTTCAATTCTTATATCCTTTTTTATATGTTCAGTCATTGAAATATTATTCAGTTTATTTAGACTCAAAGTGAATAAAATTACTCAAGTTTCAAATAATTAAAATATTATAATAATTTCTTTAGGTATACGATACAAAAAAGAAGTTACAAATTATACCTTCAATTAAAATTTTTTGTACATCAGCAATAAATATTAAAGATGGATCAAAATAAGATCAACTATTAAACTTAAATAATAATTACTTTAACTTTTATTTTATTTAGATAGTTGAACTTGAGTATCAATTCGTCTAAAAACTCAATTCAAGCTCAATCAAAATTAATCATTTTAAACTTATTTTTAATCAACTTGAATTAGTAATCCGTTGGAACTCATCATTTACTTTTCTTTTTCTTTTTACTTTTTAATTTTAGGACTGATATTGGGTTAGTAATCACCCCCTAATTTTTAAAATATTATAAATTTAATCTTTTAGTAATCACCCCTAGCCAATATCAATAGACAATATAAACTAAAATAAAAATATAATATACAAAGACTAAAAGAATATTTTTAACGGTAGAGACTAAAAAGTGAATATTATAAAATTATATAAACTAAAAATTATATTTAAATCATCTCTTAATAATAACTAAATTATTAATATCAATTATGTTGATTTTAAACTCCAAACATTGATAATATCATTGATTATGTATCTATATACGTAAGTATAAAGATTAAAAAATTATATTATAGAGACTAAAAAAAAAATTAAATTATTCTTTATTAAATGAAATTAATTTGTTAACGTTAATAATATTGATATTAAACTCCAAGCATTGAAGATATGATTGATTATTTATCTATATAAAGTTGATTCGTCAAATATAATTAAATTTAATAGATTTAAATGTATTTAGTAAAAATAAAACTGTTTATATTATATTATTATATAATTTTGTTAATACAATATTAATTTTAATAGTTATTAAGTAATTTTCACTAAATGTTTGATGGGATTAACTAATAAATATAAAATTATATAAAATATCATATTTAATTATTTAAGGTACGTATTTATTTCAAATAGATTAATAAGAATGAAAATAAATAAAAAAATAATTTATAAATTAAAATTAATATATTTCGTAGGTTCCTTGAAATAACTGATTAAAAATTAAGTTAGATATTATTAAAATAAGTTTGTATATCAAATAAGTTTGATTGAACTTATTTATATAAATTTGTCTATAATTCCCTACAAAATAAAAAATAATTAATAAAGTGAAACTAACTTATCAAAAACAAACTTTTAGATAAGTTAATATGAGAAAAATTATACAAGTTATTCTATATAAATACATAATGATATAAATTAATACATAACTTATTTATTATTGTATCAACACGTTTTATTTTTAATTTAGTTATTAAAATATATTTTACAAATAATAATAATAATTAAAAAATAGTAATTTTATCGCTGTATTTTTTTATTTATATAAATATGTATAACAGTCTTAATGTGAATATTTGATGGATACTTGAACTTTACAATAACCGTTGATAAATTCAAATAAAATACATTGTGGTTGACCTAATCAGATTTAACGGAATTATTTATATTAAATTATATATATATATATATATATATATATATAATATATGATATAACAATAAAGAATGATATTATTTCAAATTCGATTCTATTTATTGTTATTGTTATTATTTCAGTTAAGTTTCTAACTGAAATATTTGTGATTGAATTATTTATTTATTTATTTTTTTAATTTAGTCTCTAGAATCGGAAATTTGTTTACAACTTGTAATTTTTTTTATAAAATATTATTTATATCTTCATATCTGGTTAGTTACGTTAAATTATTATTTCATATTATCATCCATATATATTAGATTTTATTTTTTATCCATTAAAATTTCTAACTATTCCAAAATTATTATAATTAGAGTGATTACAATAATATTTATGTTAAAACTCTTATTTGTAACTTTAATATATGATAATATTTTTAAAATCAAATTAGTTGTTGAACCTTAAACTAATAAAAAAAAAGATTTCCTAAACTAGTGGAATCGGTTGAAAATCAATTTCAAACTAATTTATTCAATTATCTTACTATTATAAAGTTAGTAACAAAATAGATAATTCACTTTGTATACACAATTTTTTGTATAGACTAATAAAAGTACTACACGTACACTTGGCAAACTCGAAAAATTATTACAAAAAAGTTTTGTTGCTTTGTGATTTTTAACGAAGCATAGAGTAGCGTCAATTTTGGTGCTAGTATCTATAATAGTAATACCCAATTGTGGTTTTACTAGTTGAGATAGCGACTGACTTTTATTTTATTTATTTTTGTTAATAACCAAACAAAAGAAGGAAATTTCACTACCAGCGGCAGCAGGACATGGAGACGCCACAAGATCGTCTCGTTAAAAAGGAACAAGATAAGAAGGAACATCCGCCTGACCCAAACAAGCCAAACAAAATAGTAATTTATTTTTTTAAAAAAGTTTAATTTGTATGCATTTTTTTATTAAGAAAATAAAATTTGAATTTAATATTATACAATAGTTCAAATAAGTATATATTAACCATGTAAAAGATTTTATATAATTAGCTAATTAATAAAAATTTAGTTTTATTGTAAATTTTAATGAGATCTTTGTATTTATCTTTGTTTATACATGCATAAAAGTAATAGTTTTGTTGTAAAACTGTTGTCATGAATGTAGAGAATTTATGTATTTGGAATTTAATTTTTTTACTCATTAATTTACATAAATTCTGTAAAAATGAATAAACTTATTGTGTGTGATGAAATATAATTGAATGATAGCATAATTTTTTTTACCACTATCAATGTAAAAATTTTCCTTTTTGATAGTCAATATATATAGAATGCAAAAAAAATCTTATAATACCAAAATTAATACAAAGTTTTTGTTTTTTCAATAGAAAGAAATTGAGATAGGTTAAGAACATTTTTTTTCTTCCTAAGATGAATGCTGATATACAACGATACACGTCATTAATGAAGTTCTTTCACTAAATATATTTTTGTTTGAAATTATTTTATCTGTCTCATAATGACAGTAACTAATTTAAGGTTATTATACATATATTAAGAATAATAATAAATACATAATTTTTTTTTACAATTTATTAAAATAATCTCACTCTCTCAATGAAAACATTACTTTTAATAACAATAATTAAATAATTAATGAAGGAACAAATTTAAAAAATTATTAATATTACATTGAAGAGTGAACTAATTAATCATTTTTAGACAATTTTTAAAGGTTAAAATTGTAATTAATTTGAGATAGAAGAAATATATATAATAAAACTCTTTTTTAATATTTAATATAATTACATATACATGACTTATTTTGAGCTAAAATAGCAACGTCCTAATTAATCATAGATAACATCCTAAAACGATGTTTGTTATTTACCATTAGTTGGTAAAAAGCCAACTTAAATTGTACCTGCTTGAGAATAACTTTTTTATTTTTATTTTTAATTCAAATGGTAACCAGGATTATGTTGCTAGTAACTATCCCTTGGGTGACAAAATAGGCGACAACTACAGTTTAAGATGAACAACTTCATAAAACATATTGGCTAAAATAATAAAATTAAAATTAATATATTTCTATCCAATTTAATACGAGTATAACCAATTATTTTATCTGTTAATCTTTTCAAAATTACTTAATGTTATTTTAAATAAATATTCATATAGTTTGAATGAGTTAATTCAAAACAATTTACTTTCAAATTATATTTTTGAATTTCAATTATGAAATAGCTAACTAAAATATATGTTAACAAAAAGTTTAAGCTATCCACAGCCAATGCACGCAAAATTAAAATCCCGTTTGTTTAGGTTGATTAATA